ACGACCTTAGAGATATAGTCACCAAGTGTCCTAATGAATTCTCTAATATAAAGAAATCTTCTCAGATTCCAAGTCTCTTGAGAGCCAAAGTCCTCGAAGGACCAGACAAAGCAGTACCACAGAACCTGTTAGGACGGTATCATGGGCATCCCATCAACAGTATCCAGCTTCTCAAAAGATCCCTGCCCAAATTTTGCCCTTAAAACCCCTCCACTTGCAAGCCATCAGGGAGTTCAGGACTTCTGAGCATTAGCTCCTTTTTCTCCTGGGTGAGGCCACATTAACAAACAAGCTCTTTCTCTTCTCTGCAAAAGCTTGGTGTCCATTTTTATTGGCTTGCTGTGCATTGGGGAGCCAAACTCTCGTTTGGTTCAGTGACACACCTTAAACTTACATGATGTTTTATGGCATAACTGAATTTTAGAAGCAAAAATAAAAAAACCTTGAGCTATTATAGAGAATCACAGAAAAATCTGATGAACAAAGAAAACCACAGCTCTATTTATTGTTGCCAAGTGAAATTTGGCAGTCTGAGTATCCTACCTGAATTATAATGAATGTTCAGACATCTTGAAGAAGGACATATAAAAGCCCCAGTAGAATCCGTGTGTTCTTTGACCTTGGTACATGTTCACCCAAGAATGGGAATTCCTGATTCTTTTCCTGGCTTGAAAAAAGGAGGTGGGGAGAGGAACTCAAGAGAATCAAGAGATCCAAAAGCCATGTTACTCAGGTGGGTGCGAGAGGGAGATCATCCAGCTTCAAGAGATTGTTCTGGGAAAAGAACAGCTCTCAGGGCTGCTGCAGGGAAGGAACCAGCCAGTTCAGGAGGGATACTGAGGACACATTTAAATCCAAACTTCCCATTCAGGGCCTCCCTGAAGTTGAGGGAGGTCAGACCATTTCTAGGTGTTGAGGTTTTAGGTTGATTTTGAAAATGAAGGAACTCAAAGCCTTGTAAAAATTGTGGTATATAGGGGGGTTGGGGGGGGTTATGGACATTGGGTAGGGTATGTGCTATGGTGAGTGCTGTGAAGTGTGTAAACCTGGAGATTCACAGACCTGTAACCCTGGGGGGAAAAAAAATATATGTTTATAAAAAATAAAATTAAAAAAAAAATTGTGGTATATATTAAATGTTTAATATATACCAAATCACTATTTCTCTGTCTCTCGCATTCTCTCTCTCTCTCTCTCTCTCTCTCTCACACACACACACACACACACACACACATATGTAGCCTGACGTGGAAATTATAAGTTTGTATGTGAAACTGTTTGGGATTCAGCCAAGATATGGGGGTTCAGGTTAATTGTGGCTGATGTTCCCTTCTTTCTGCCCCCCCCAAATTTTGACTATTTGCTTCCCAGTCTGTCTTGGGAACCATTTGCATCCATTTTGTTGTGTATAGTCAAACGTTCCCCAACATTCTTATTCATTCCAATGGTTTTATTTGCCATACATTTGCTTATTCTCAAACATACACCCTCAAGTCTGGGGAAATTATTAAACTTTCCATGCCTCCGTTTCCGGATCTGTTAAATGAGAATGATAATGGCACTTGCCTGATAGGCTTGTGAAGTTTAAAATTTAATTAATATATGCATGAATGTCTGTTGTACATATATTATACATGCATACGTGTACATATATGCATATGCACGGCACACACAAATTTGTATGCAGTGACATACCTATCATATGCATGTTTTATGTACATATATACATGCATATAGGTTTGTATGTTAATTCATGTGTACAGATATTTATATACATGAATATACAAGGAATGTCCTTGTATGTATATAAACTGCTTGCAACTTAGTACACATTGTATTATTTTCTTCTCATGTTCAATGCTTGAACCACCTGAAACCACCTGAGTGGTTTCCTCTCTTCTCTGCTCCTTTACACTTAGTCCTCTCTCAGCCTAGAATAGCCTCCTTTTGTCTCTCCATTTGGCTGTCTCCCTGACTCAGATCAAGTCACCACCTTTAGGTGGCCTTAAATCACCTTCTCTCCAGTTAGGTGTCCTTTCCACATGTGCAACTCCCTTTGGCATATCACCACTCCATGATATTTTTTTTTCATGTAATTATTTATCTGTCCCCAGCACTAGACTGTGAACTCCTTGATAGTAGCATTTATGTCTTACTGCTTTGGTGTACTCATCTTCTAGCACGGTCTCTAGGCACAGAACAGGGCTCACAAAATATTTGTTGAGCAAGTGCAATCTAAAAAAATCTATAGGCAGGGCTCATAGACACATGCGTACGTGTGGAACAATGACCCCTGTGGAGAGCCTGGGCCATTGACAGGATAGGAAGGAGGACACAGTGTAGGTACAGTGGGAGAAACCCTCTATTTCCCAGGTAGTGGAGGAAGGGGCAGGGATAGCAGAAATACGGCCAGCTTTGCTGGTGAGGGCCCTGCGTACATTTTGCTGTTCTTATCTCTGCCCCTAATTTGACTGTGATCTTGGAAAACAACTTTGCTTAACTTCAACTTCCTCATCCCCAATTAACTACTCTACCGGGGATGACATTTAGCTGGATCAACTTTTGCAGCAGAATGGACTACTTTGGGCTGGGTCCCTTGTGACCCAGCAGTGCCATGCCTTCCTGGTTGTTAGTTTCAAACAGCCACCCTCACCCCTTGCTACACGCTAGGTATAAATGTCAAGTTGCTTTCCTTTTCGTCTCGTATTTCGTAAATATTAGTCATTTGTAAACCACTTTCTCATTTTTCCTATATTCAAATTTTACCTACACTCATTTTTTGGCTCAACATTTTTATTTAAATTCATCACTTTAATTATGCCTTTAGCCTTGTTTGAAGCAAAAATATTCTTAAGGTCATGAATTTGATATGCAAACGGCACTTTTGAATACACTTAAAAATAAAAATATAACTGTAACAATGTAGAATATTCATCTGCGTGCTTTCTAAAATGATCTTGGGTGATGGCATGCTTATTACCCTTTGGGGAATCTCAGGCACTGGTGGCTCTCAAAGGGGGAGGTCCCTGGTCACCTGGGAACTTGTTAAGAATGCAATTCTCCAGCCCCACCCCAGAGTTATTGACTCCGAGATGGAGGGTAGGGACAGCAATCTGTGTTTTAACAAGTACCTCCCCCTCCTTATTCCCCCCCCCACCCCCGCCCCACCAGGTGAAGCACTCAAGACTGAGATCGGCTGTCAGAGAACTTGGGGCACTCCTGTGAGCTGACCTCCTCTACCCAGGAGTCTCTAACTCAGACCCTTTCCCCAGCTTTGGCTCAGCCCTGACTCCCTTGGGGACCATTCATCATCCTGGTTCAGCCACTGAGACATAACAACAGCACAGACGCACCTGCTTTTCCTGCAGCTGGCACAGCCTTCACTGAAACAATTTCCTTCCTGCTTTATTGTTTCCCAATCTTTTAGGCATTGAGTTGATTAAATTCAGAGGAAGAAATGGGTCAAATCCTCTGTTCCATAAAAACGAATTACCTTCTCTGTCCTCTTCATTTTGTCCTGTGAGGTGGGGTAATCTTTTTCCTTCCCTTTTCTCAGCATGGTCTTCTACGTTGTCAAGGCCCTCTCTATAGGGCAGGGTGGCAGGAGGACCTCATATGTGTGCAGGTGCCCCAAGAGGTGTCTCTGATCTCTGAGAAGAACCACTATCTCTGAAGGGAGAGTCATAGGACCTTATAAGCCATGTTGCTTTGCTCAGCCTTTGATACAGCAGCATATATATTGATGATGGCAGGACAAGCCCACAGACCCAGAGTGGGTCTTTGGAGGGTCCTTGGCTTTGTGCAGGATGGAAATCAAATGTGAGCCAACAGGAAGCAAAAGCAGAGTTTGCTGAAAATACGTACAGTGAGAGATACAGACAGAGCATCTGGGACACTCGGAAAGGGAAAGAGGAAGTCTTGTCTTTGCTTGGGCTCTGGGGTTTTTACTGATTGCCTGGTGCACTTGTCCTCTCAGACATCCAGAAACATGTCAGAATGAAGACAAGATCCAAGTGGACATCGTAAGTCACTTATTCCCTGAAGCCAGGGGTCTCATTGAGATGTCTAGCACCCGTGGTCTGGAATACGCAGGATAACTTCCTTCCTCTGGTCTTTCTCAGCTGGTCCTTCCTTAGATGTTATCTATTCTAGAGAAATCGTTAACTCCTTGTCTCTTACAAGGAGGACATCTACTATTTGCTTTACAAGGCGTGTGTAGACTGAGGTGGGGGTGGAGGTCCTGGCAAGAATAGAAGCCAGAAAAGAAGCAAAGGGTAAAAAAATCCAGCTTTTCCCATCCTGGGGTCCCTTCAGTTTCTTGGTCTCGGTATCACTGTTTCCTGCAGGGGCTCCTTCACCTCCTCCCCATCTCTGTCGTCAGTCATGCTGATTTCAGCTAGTTCATGCTTCAGCTTCCTACCTGCCAAGGAAGCCTAATCATCTTGTCTGTTCCATGCCCACCTCTCAGAGAAGCTCTACTGTGGCATTCCCTGGGTTATCTCCATCCTCTGAAACTTCCAGCCAACAGGTCCAAAGCTGAACATGCCACCTTTGAGGGGAGGGGGAAAAACTTTTCCCTCTACCTTTCGGAATTCTTGGCTGGGGCCCCTATTCCAAAACACAGGTTAACAAAAGAAAAACAAACAAGTTTATTAGCATGTATGTCTCATATATATGTGGGATATACCCAGGGTGCGGGCCGGGGGGGCGGGGGGGGGGCTGCGGGCGGGGAATAAGAAACTCTCCAAGAGGTGGTGGCTTAGAATTCAGGCTGAAATACCATCTTCAACTTGAAACACAAAAGGGTATGGGAAGGCCAATGTATGGGGATAAATGGGGATAACCGGGGAAAGTTTGGTCCATCAGAGTTTTATTATGCAGATTTAAGTTGGTGGCTTCTCCACTGATAAGACCTTTTTAAGATTCACTCATCCCTCTCTTCCAGGTATAGAAGGGAAAAAAACCTCACATATGCAGGTTTCTTTTAGAAACATTAATTTTCCCTTACAAAAGGATAACTTCTACTCTGTTTTCAGAGCTTCTCCTCTGTCTACTGTTTCTTAAAATAATCAACTCAAAATAATCTTTATGCCAATGGGGCCTATTTGGGGATGGCAAATCCTCACCCTTCACCTTCCACAATAGCGCACTTGTTTTCTTGCCTTTCCCATCTCAGTTAATTGAACCAAAGTCTGCTGCCTCATCCAAGCCAGAAAAACTTGCATCTTCCTCATGCACATTCAGTGGGTCAGCAAGGCCTGGGGACTCTGTGCTTTCATTCTGAATCTTTCCTCCTTGTGCCCTGAAAGCCACGTTCTTAGTGAAGGTCCTCAGTTTACTGAGACAACAGCTTCCAGGCTGGCCAGTCCTTTCTGCACCTGACCACGACTCGGCAGCTGAAGGAGATTTTTAACAACAAATCAATATCATGGCATTTCCCTGTGAAAACTTTTTCTGCTACCACCTCCTGGATAAAGATCAACACTCTCGAAAACCAGACCCTTGAGCACCTGACCCAAACCTCTTTCCTGCATTGATCCCAGAGCATGTTGGAGTCCAACCACACAGAACCATTTGTAATTCCCAGAACACAGAAGCCTTCCTGCCTTCCCGTGGGCCCTCCTTTCCCAGTTTGGTGATTTCCCACCTGACTGTGAATCCCAGCTCTACTGTCAACTCTGTAGATTTTCCTGACTTCTCCCTGCATCCAGCCAAGCCTGGTGCTTGTCCCCAGTGCACCTTCAGTAGCTCTTAAATGAGGGCCCCTTCTACTAGAGGGGGATATGGTGGTCTCTCATTTGCCTTGGCCCCCCTGGGGCCCAATGCAGACACCAACCAGTACTGTGGCAGCCTGTGGAGATCAACCCCTTTCCAGGCACTGGGGAGGAGAACATTTTACTCTACCCTCTCAGGTTACCTAAGTCTGAAAATTAAGCTGACAAGGACAGATGAACAGGAGAAAAACCTACATATTTTTTAAATGTTTAGGTGTACAAGATAAGTCTTCACAAGAGAGAAAGGTAACTGGAGCAGGAAGCTTTTCTGTCATTTAGACAAAGGAACAGTGAATTTGTGAGGAATTAACAAAACAAAGGGATTTGGGCCTCAGGGTAATCCAACTAGGGCTAGGTAGTCCTTGAAAGATAAGGGTTAGTTTAGCAAGATTTGTTTGTAGATTGCTCTGATTCCATCTCTGTGGAGTCTGACTCCAGTAAAAGAAGAATTTATTTCCTGCTGCTATTCAGAAAAGGGGGAGTTTTTCCCTCTGGGTTTGTTGCTAACTGCCTTCAGCTCAATTTTTTTTAAGGTTTACTGATTTATTTTATTTTTATTTATTCTTAAGATTTTATTTATTTGAGAGAGAGAGAGAGAGAGAGAATAAGTGGGAGGGAGAGAGAGAGAGAGAGCTGTGCCTGGGCACAGGAGCAGGGGAGGGGGGAGGGAGAAACAGGGGAAAGAGGAGGGGGGAGGGAGGAGCAGGCTCTTCCCTGAGCAAAGAGCCTGATGTGGGACTCCATCCCAGAACCCTGGGATCATGACCTGAGCCAAAGGCAGACATTTAAATGAGCCACCCAGAAGCCCAAGGTTTATTGATTTATTTTAGAGACGGAGAGCACTTGCACATGGTGGAGGGGGGAGAGGGAGAAAGAATCTCAAGCAGAGCCAACGCAGGCCTCAATATCTCAACCCCAAGCCAAAATCACTCAGGCACCCTCAAAATAACTTTTATGTCAAAGAGGTATATTTTTGGGGTGACCTATCCTGGTTTCCTTCATGAGCTACCTCCTAGCCACAGACTCCCAGGTCTAAAAATGAAGAGTTGTAAATCCAGCTCCAAACCTAATAAATCCAGAAGCCCAGAGCAGGCCCAGCATTTTGCCCAAGTCCACAGGGCACCGGCTGCACTGCCATCCCACCCATACTGGGTTTCTTAAACAACATTTACCCTCTTAAGAAGCTGAGAACACAAACCCTCTATCCCCAAACCCCACAGCTTACTGTCTGCACAAAGGGTCCTCACTCTTCTGTCACCTTCATTAGCGTAACTTTACGAGTCCAGAGACTCTGACCTTGGAAAAGCAAAGGAGTAAAACTTTGTTTCATTATAGAAATTCTGGAAAGTCTTGTCAAATCATCAGCGGATCATCACATTCCTAGATTCCCCTTACCTTGTTGCGTCCCCCAGTCATAGACTAGGATAATCCTTACCCAAATCCTAACCTTTTTTTTTTTTTTTAAAGATTTTATTTATTTATTTGTCAGAGAGAGAGAGAGAGAGAGAGAGAGAGAGAGAGAGCACAGGCAGACAGAGTGTCAGAGGGAGAAGCAGGCTCCCTGCGGAGCAAGGAGCCCGATGCGGGACTCGATCCCAAGACGCTGGGATCATGACCTGAGCCGAAGGCAGCCACCCAGGCGTCCCTCCTAACCCAATCCTTACCCAGTCCTAACCAAACCTCCTTCTCCCCACACTAGAAGACCTACCTTAGGGGCGTGTGGCTGCTCAGTCAGTAGAGAATGCGTCTCTTGATCTTGGCAGTTCTAAGTTCAAGCCCCAGACTGGGTGTAGAGATGGCTTAAGCATAAGACAATCTTAAAACAAAACAAAAACCACCCTACCTTAAACCAGACCTCAGAGTCTTTATCAGACTTTCCCCTTTCCCTATCGAGACACTATCAGACTTCCGTCTGGTGGTCAGCAATAAACTCACCTTTGCCTTATTAACAGGTTGTTTGGGAAGCCGGCAGTAAACAAGGATATGTCTTCTCCAGGCTTCTGCCTAACGAGGAGACTGTTAGTTTGCATTCAAAGGGAGTTTGGTTCTCTCACCAAGTTCGACAGTGAAATTCTTTATCTTTAGAGGTAATGCCGGTGTGCTTTGAGAAACCTGGCCTCGGCACTGAGACGATGCTTCCTGCTTCCCGTCTCTAGATCCAAATCAGCCTTTGGCTCCTTCCCCGCGGCCAAACCCACCTGCGGCTGGAAATGCGATGACGTGGTGGCTTCTGAGAATTTACCAGCAGAGGGAGCTCTTGAAAAAAGAATTACTTGGAAACTGCTTTTCAGGGACTGGAAAATTCCCACACAGGAGGCACCACTTAATTTTAATTATTGTAATTAATGGTAAATGCAAGTGGAGCTTCCACAGGACATAAACCAGAACAGGGACAGAGTGATAGAGGTGCCAACGGCGGGAAACCCAGCAGAGAGCCTTCCCAAAGTGGTGCTCAGATGAGGATTTAAAGCCTCCAGTGGGGGTTGCCTCCTTACCCAGACTCCTGCAATAATAGAATTTTCCCCCAAGTAATTCTGAAACCTGCCACATTTAAGTCATGCCGCATCAAAGTCGAAACTACTTACTCTGGGGCTCCTGAGAAATTATTCTTGACATTCATGCAGAAAGTCCCCCTAAGCCAGGAGCTGGCAAAATTTCTTCTGGTAATAATGGTATTTTCACTTTCACAGGCTATGCAGTTTCTGCCATAACTTCCCAAATCTGTCATTGTAGCTCAAAAGCAGGCACAAAAATTACACAACGTATGGGTGTGGCTGTTTCCTGACAAAACTTCACTTACAGATCCTGAAATTTAAAATTCTGTCTAATTTTCACAAGTCACAAATGTCACTCTTCTTTTGACTTTTTTTCCCCCACCCATTTAAAAATGTAAAAACTGTTTTTAATTTGTGGGCCATCACAAAGACCACATTTGGCCCATAGCCTGTGGTTTGCCCAACTCCCGCTCTAAGCCATCCGTTGGCCCAAACTTTTAACTCCCTTTGTAATTGCAACACCTCTTCTCTGACAGAATGTCTCTGTAAATTTTTCTCCCCAAGACTATACAGGAATATCCTCCAAGAACGATGAAGGAAACAAAACAGCTCTTTGAGGTCCTACTACGACCGAGCCGAAAGCTGTGGAAAATTCCGCCCTGGGTACAGAGGTTCATTAAAAACAAGTGATTTTCAAGAGTCGACACAACTCACTGCTTTTTCTGGTGTTGACTATTTGCTGCAAAATGCATGTTTTGCTGGGGAGGCTCTTCTGCATCAGCTCTGAGCGAGCAGAGAGAGTGTAAGCAAAGCCACATCCACCGTGGTCTTGGACGTGCGTGTGACTGAACTTTGTCAGTGGCTCTTTCCTTCTCTGTAAAGTGAGAGGATAATACTCTCTATCCTAAGGGACATTAAGGAGGACGCCAAGAACCTGAAATGTAGCAGGCACTAACTGGATGGTAGCTTTCATTACACAGAAGATAGAAATGACCCCTCAGAAATACTTCATTGGTGTACAGGAACCAGCATATGCTCCAACGTTAGCACTGGGTTATGCGGTGCTGTGGTCCATCTGGGTGGCTACTATCATGGAATATCGTAGTCCATGGGGGCTGGACACCAGAGCCGGGGTAGATTATAAACAGAAATGTATTGCTCACAGTTCTGCAGGCTAGGAAGTTCAAGATCAAGAGGCTGGGAGATCCGGTGTCTCGTGAGGACCTGCTTCCTGGCTCACAGGCAGCTGTCTTTTCTCTGTCCTCACACGGTGGAAGGAATGAAGGACCATTCCGGCGGAGTCTCTTTGCTAAGGTCACTAACGCCATTCATGACCTGATCACCTTTTAAAGGCCAAATACCATCCCATTGGGAGTTAAGATTTCAACAGATAAGTTTCGGGGGCCACAAACATTCCGTGTGTAGATACAGTAATATGAATGGATGGTAAGATCCTGGAGAGTAGGGAACACACAAAGTTCCTCTTCTTCTGACTGGCTTAATCACTGCCTGGCACCTAAGGGAGAAACACCTGTGCCTTGATGGAAAGCCGTGCATCGCTCTGAGCACATGCTTCCCACTTACCCGATTCTGATCCCATGGGGTTCTGCACCTTTTCCTGCCTTTGAGCTATTTTAGAGCCCTGTGAGTTATGGATAACGGATAGCCATGTGAAATGCTTCTTACTTTACACACGCAACTCAATTCTGTCTTGGGGAGGTTCAACTGACTTCCCTCTCCCTTTATGAAAGTAGACAGTTTTGTACCATTTGCAAATTCATTTCAGTATTTCTGATCTGCAAATATCTCTGCTTTTTGCCTTCTACTTTGAAACAGTTTGGAATGTCTACCTGATTTCCTTATCAATAATGAGTTAAATAAATTCTTCCACATGTCTGTATTTTACACCTGTGTGAGTCATGATTTTTAACTATTCTGTGGAAAATTATCTCCTCACACAGCATTTAATCGTGAATCTGAATTCAGGAATGTCTTTTTGGAAAATATTTGAACAGTACCCTACGGGATAACTTAACACATTTCTTGCCCTTTTGAATCATCTCCTCTTATATTCTTATATTCCACTTATATTCTCTTATATTCTACTCAGGACTCCGACACTAAATAGTTATAAGACTTTGAATGACATGTTTCCCCAACTGCAAAGCAAGAGGTTGGAGGAGAAACATCATAAAGTGGCAGTTTTCAAACTTTACAGTTGAAGGAACCCTTCACACTTTTAAAATTATTGAGAACCCTTGAATGATTAAGGCTTGGCTTATGTGGGTTACATCTATTGCCATTCATCACACTGGAAATTAAAACAATTTTTTTCAAAAATATGCATTTACTAATTCATTGAAGTAACAATAACAAACCCATCACATGTTAATAAAATAACATTTTTATGAAATTAACTATGTTCTAAAACAAAAAGTACAGTGCGATAGACGGCATTTACATTTTTGCAAATCCTTTTCTTGCTTGGCTTAATACAAGTGCTGGATACTCATATGTGCATTTGCATTCAATCTACTGTGACATCAATATTACGTAGGCTCTAGAAGCTCTATTGTACACTCGTGAGAGAATGAGAATGGAAAAGGCAAATCATACCATAGCATTATAATTTTGAGCGATCAAACCCACAGAAAGGATTTCAGGACCCTCAGGAGTTCTGGAATATTCTTTGAGACCAGCTTTTGTAAAGACAACTAAGATGTCCCACAGGTGGAAGCAGTGATTTTTTGATGATGGGATGTACCAGTGCATCATGCAGACCCCTTTCTTAAAGCGACAGTTTGCTTTTGCGAACAGTCTGGAACAGTAAGCTTCTGCTCATGTGTGTACTTAGGCAAATGCAAGAGCATCTGTTGCTCTGTGCTGGGATCCTGTGTGACAGGCTGTGGTGGGATGTTGCATATTCCTGGAGTAGGGAAAGGAAATGAGGTGGGGGTGAGGAGGGGAAAGGGAATGAGCACCGTTCTTATCTCTTTCCAAGAAGCTCTGGGTGAATTCTTGAAACTGCATTTGCAAGGGCCTCTGTCCTGAGATTCTTCCTGATCCCCTCTCAAATCAGGGCTTTTGGAATGAAGCCCCTGGAAGGCTCCACTGCCTCCCACACCCTGCTTCTGACCCTAGGAGGGTCACTGGGCTCTGAGATTACAGGCAAGCAGTTGTTAGAACAGCAGTTGGAAAGGGAAGGGATTTTCCCTTCCTGAAAGTCCTGAAAAAAATAAACACTTCGGACCTTCCCCATCACTCTTCCTTCGTGGTTTTCCCTGCATGGGCTCCTCCAAGCAGGAAGTTATTTCTTGTGCAAGTGACCACGTGACCACAGTGAAGATAAGGCAAGGATTGACAAGAAAGAGTTCCCTGATTTCGTCTTTCCAGAAAAACAGTCCAGAGGTTTGATGTTTACAAAAAATCTACTTATTCTACGAATGAGAACAGATTCAGAACTTTCTAATAGCCTGCTTCTCAAGTACTTGCCTTCCAATATCTATGATGAGATAGTAATGAACGGTTAAACTTTTGGGATCAAGACAGATGTAGGTTCTTATCCTTGATCTCCACTTGATAGCAACGGGAACTTGGGGGAAATGTCAGCCTTTCCAGATCTCAAAGTCCTCAGCTGTAAAATGGAGGCAAATTAGTTCGAGTATCTCCTGAAAGTGAGCCTGGATCTAGACCTTGGGGGAACATAGTTGAATGGTGGCAAGGGTGATCTCAGAAAGCAGAAAAGTAGGAAGAAAAAAAAAAAGGAGACAGATAAGAAGGAAAAAACCAATAGGGTGTGTTCCTGGGCTGGTTACTATTCTGGACAATTGAGGCTCAATCCTGCCAGAGACCCTCTGAGAAACAATATGAAATGTACCCCCAGAATTATCCTCTGAAGGGTGGGTGCCAGAGACATTAATCTCCTCCCTCATTGATTGAGGACTGCCCTGGGGGGTGGGAGGAATGAATTTTCCCTGGGAAAAATGAATCTTCACCACAAACTGTGGCTGAAATCAAAGTGGGTCACAGGCTGTGACATGAGGCACATAAGATATCTGCTCTCGGAGATAGATGACATCTATGTCATAGAGCCACCATAAGCATGAAATGCAACAGTATCTTAAAATGTTGAGCATTGTGCCTGGCACACAGTTAAGTGCCCAATCAGTGTTGGCATGATCGTTGCCGCTGCTATTATGGTGGTCATCCTTGTGACCATTCTCATGCACTTTCTTGAATGAGAGACACGGGGTAACTTGATGGCTTAGGGGGCTCCAGGAATGATCTATAGTCCATAGCCTATGTCTTCCATACTACAGCCTCTAGGATTTACCATGACCTACGGCCAATTGTGATTATCACGGTACTCTGATTTTCTCCTTTTTTGTTTGTGCATGTGTGTGTTTTGCCCAAATATGGGACGAAGGTAAGGTATATTCTCTCAGTTGTGTGGGGTGGTAAAAAGGCTGCTAGCATGGCCCCGGAGCACCACTGTCTAATTGCACTTCCTGTAATGATGGAGATGTTCTAGATCTCTGCTATCCTAAATGGTAGCCTCTTGGACACTTGAGATGTGGCTAGCGTGGCTGAAGCACTGAATCTTTGCTTTTAGTCCGCTCTAGTTAATTTCTGTCTCAGTTTAAATAGCCACATAGAGACCCAGTAGAGGCCACTTAAGGAGAGTGTTCCCAGCACATCTTGGACAAGACCCTGCCCCTGGGGCTAAGATGAAGGCCACGTGGCCAGGGGTGTAATTCACCTGGCCCCTGGGCCCGCAGGTACCCACTAGATCTCACTTCTGGTTTGGAGGATGGTGGTGGTATCACTGGGGCCAAAGGGCTGCTGGTGGAAGAGAATGGAGTCCCGACAACACTAGCCAGCACTGTCTCGGGGGAAGCGAGACCACGAGCTCAGTGCAGTTTGGATCATCGCTCTGTGCACAGAGCCAGCTGCTGACCATCGTGCAGCAGGGAGTCGCCTTATTAGCTGCCTTTGGCAGCCTCTCAAGACCAGCATTTACTGGTTCCGCCTCTGCCTTGGCCCATTTCTCTCTGCAGGCACGTGTGCTGTGCTGGACACACAGTACTTGGCAATGACATTAACGTCCCCCAGTGTGGTGTGAGGCCCTGAGGGTTGTTCACCTGGGGTTTTCTACTCTCAAGGAAATTAAGATTTACCCATAAAGACAAGATTTTCATATAGTAAGCACAGATTCCAATCTCACCACCTCCCCACTCCTCCCCTCAGCTTCCTGTGTTCTACAACTGGTCATTCCGATTGGTAATTGACTATTTCCT